CTGATTACAGGAAATCATTGTCCTAGAGGAAACGTTCCTTCTGGATGAGCATGTGGCGACAGCAGGTACAATTTTGTTGTTGACTCTACAGCAATCCCTTACACAAAATATGCATGCAACAATAGTAGAGAGGAAAAACTCCCTTTTAATAGGAGGAAATCTCTAGCAGAACCTGTAACATCCACAATCATGTAATACTTTCTACAAATGCTACAAACCAAAAACGTAAAGAAAATATGCAGCTTTTCAAGAAATAAACAGGCTTACAAAGTACGCTTCTTTTTTTCTTTTGATAATCCCATAATCAAAAAAAGACAAAAAAATCAACTTTAACTTTATTTAAAGTTAGTATTGTCATGATGGGTTTAAGGTTCTTAGCCCACATGCAGAAGACAACGGAGGCTGGGTAAAAGTTTGACAGACTTTATTGAACGTTTCACAAAACACAAGATAATGTACTGGGTCAGGAACTGGTCCGGGCTGGTTCACTGAAGTCTGCAGAGATGATAGTTTGATTAGAAGGCAGGCAGATGAGTTATGAGTCTTTGATAATTCAGGATTATACCTTGACTGGGTCCGGGCTTCTCTTTGAGAGAGAGAGGGAACCGTTGGGTCCAGAGACTGTTTGTTCAGCAGAGTTCAAGAGCAGCTGCAGCGTCTTGCTTCTGACTTTAAATGGCAGACCTTGATCAGAGTTTCCAGCTCTTCACTAAGAGCAGCAGGGGAATCCACATAGGAATCTTCAGGTTAGGCTCTCTAGGGCAGACTTGGCAGGTTAAGCTCATCCAGAGCTTCAGGCTAGAGACAGGTTTCCTGTGAGGCAAAAACAGAGGAGAGTTAGAATCTGATCTCTTTCAAGAGATAACTAAGATTCTTCAGGTTCAAGGCTCAGGTTGCTAACCAAACTAAGGTCAACACTGCGGCGTCGAAGCAAGGTCTGGGAGCTGGTTATAAAGGAGAGGTCTCCTGATGAGTAGATGCATCTCAGGTGTGCTGGAAGACTCCAGCTCCAGGAGACCCACGGTGCACTCTGCTGGAAGAAGGTGGTACAGCTCCAGATCCCAACAAGTATAGTAACCAAAAAGTGTCAAATAGACAACAGTTAGTTCTTTAAAATATACAATAATTAAAGATGACTAATACAGTATATGTGCAAGTTTATGGAACTTAACTGGAATTCACTCAAGGGGCCTTCAATTTGGCTGATCCATCTTTATTTTTTCATGATAGCCACAATAGCTTTCCAGTCATATAGGTAAAAAACCTCAAAAGAAACAGAAGCACATCTACTGTATTCCATTTTGAAATTAACAAGATAAATACATTGTCAAATAATGAAAAAGATTTCCAACTGTTTAAAACAGTTATTCCAAAAGTATAATAAAAAGTAAATATTTTATAGTAATTAAAGTAATTATTTTTCAAAAATGTTGTTAGATATATTTTTTGTTAAAATTCTATTCAACATTTACTGTATGATCTGGTTGAACTGTAAAGTGCCTTAAGATGACATGTGTTGTGAATTTGGCGCTATATAAATAAAGTGAATTGAATTGAATTTATTGTTTTTCAGATTCTACCATGAATAATAAACTCCAAGTGTATTTTTTTGTTGGTTTGTTTGTTTTTTTTTATTACAATTTTAGAACTGTTCGATACAACAATCTATCAGAGTCCATGTGCCGCTCCAATGAGATTCAGGAAATGAACAACAGCATTGTGAGGCTTACCAGTTGTCCTTCACAGTTCGTAGAAAACTTGCACAGTTCTGACTTTACATATGCTACCAGCTCTGTTTGCTTCTCATGCTGTGGCACTTCAAGCCCCTGTCAAACTTCAACGATTTAGACCAGCATATGCCTGACGAACAAAAAATCAGTCAAAAACGCTTGCATACCTTGGATGAGTTATGGGTACGTTTTGTAAAAGTTATGAGCACGCTGCAGCAAGTACGTCGAGAAGTTTTGAGCTTGGTCAAAATTTCCCGACCTATGCCAGATGTGGGGCATAAGTTACAGCTAAGTTATCTGTTTGTTGACTTAAGTTAAATGTACGTTACTCATGAGTCGCGGCGTCTAGCATATCCAAAATCTATTAGTAATGTGCACATTAACTTATGGGTATAACTTATCAAGAACTTATCTCCAACGCATATCAACGTATTTGACGTGTTCCAGACGACCGTTGAGCGTGTTTTTAACTGCTTTTAACAGCTATCGTTCAATGGTATATTGGCAGTGTTTTGATATAAAAGTGGGTTCACAGGAGAAAACTGTCAGTACTCCTACAGACTATATGAATTGAGAAGGATGGTCTGATGGATCCTCCTAGCGTTCATGCCAATATCCACGACCAGCAGACATGATAGTGAATCTGCTGTGACTGCAAACCTTTTTTCTTTCCTTTTTCTATTTTATTACTTCTTTTTTTTTTTTGGCAGGCGGTAAAAAGCAGCTAGGTTAATACCGGGAACCAAGACATCTTTTTATGCAGACCGGGCGCCTTGCTGTCCACCTCAGGTGAAGCAATGCACCTGAGGGGGGCAGCTTTAACTGATTATTTGTAATGCCCATTAAATGAGAATTAGGCTGCCATGCTTTATGCATAAGTTAGACCGGTGTTGGATATAAGTTCTGGACTCGTGAATCTATATGCCCAAAATGTAAAAAAAAGTCATAGAAAGTTCAGCGTATGCCAGCATTTTAGGAGATTCTGGGACGTTGGGCATGCGCTGGCTAAATTGGCAAGGTGTGACAGGTCAGTCACACAAAAAGTACCTCCAGTCTCTGATTGCTATGAGATTGAGTCCACCTGGTTCTCATGAAGCGCAGAAAGGTGCAGCAGTGGGGAGTGGCTATCTGACAGTTTACCAGGACAATTAGGAAGGGCCTCATGAAAATCCACTCCCTTCTGTGGTTTATTTGGGAAATATAAATGTAGATTCATTGATTCATTCATTAATATAGGTTGGCCCTGAACTGGTTTTTGGCCACCCCTCAGGACACATTGGCCCCTGCCTGGCCACCCCTGCGAAATTTCCTTGATTAGCCACTGTTGTCAAAATTTTGCCAAAATTCTTGGTTCATTTATATTTTCTGGTTGGCATCAAGTTGAGGACATTTGTGTTAAGGTATAAATCGACATTTAAAGACAGTCATTGTAAAAAAAATTCAGGGCCAGTGTGATAGGTTAACTGGTGACGAGATCCACTAGCGGCAGCAGCTGGAAAACCGCTGATTTTTGGGGAATAAAGGATCAATTGGTACAAGCAACGGTGTAACTTTTCCATTTCTCTGTCATCCTGTATGTCCTTAAGTTTTCAGTCATATGTCCAAAGCCAAACCAGCAAGCTTGACTTAAAAAAGTTTAAAATGTAATTGATATCTTCAAAGCTGAAGCTGCTCAAACGGAATTTTTTGCTGCACAAACCAGCACAAACGTAGCACAAACATTTGACACCAATTTTGTCTGATTTCATAAATGTGGGGGGGCTGTTTGACCTTTTGACCTTTACCTTTTCTTTAATATCGTAAAAGCCAAAATAGCACAAATGACAATTTTTGCTGCACAAACCAGCACAAACGGAGTCGATTTAATTGACACCCATTTTGTCTGATTTGAAGAAGATGGGGTGGCTGGTTGACCTTTGATGACCTCTAGAAACATTTCTTTATATCTTTAAAATTATAGCGGCACAAACATTTGACACCAATTTTGTCTGATTTGAAGAAGGGGGGGCAACTTCACTCAGGTGTAAATAACTTATTTCTTAACTTATAGGTATTGTGGAGGATTTTTTTAAAAGACCCACCCTTTCAAAAAAAAAAAAATATCCGTGTGCAAGAGCATGCACAAGCCCATTTCTTCTTGTACATGCCCTGTTTAAAATGTGCTGTTATCATAGCTCATAAGTTTACTGTTTCAACATACAGAGGGGACTATATAGTGGACTTTATAGCAAACTCAGTTAATTGACAGTTCTTACAGATGATCGCAGCTTTTTGCTCCGTTGGTCACCTAACTCCTCCTTCACTACACGGTGCCTGCACCATCTCTGTTATTAGTTGCTGCTGTCTAATAGCGACAGCAGGCTTCTGTGACAGCAAAGAGATCTCAGCACAACGCATTCTGGGATATATCTACCTCTTCTGAGTCGTTTCTTTTCTTCACATGCAGTTCGTAGACACTTTTCTCCTACGACCCTCTGCCATTTTCAAAGAGCCGTGGTAAGAAATGTGAGCTTCAATAATTGTCTGAAACCGTTCCTTCACACAGATATACGGCTTAAAGTGCGCATGCACAAAAAAGACAGCTAACGGGATGAGCATGTAGAATGGCCTTACGTAAACATATCACCAGAATGATTGACAATTAGGACGACCACTTATTTAGATGATCCACCTGGAAATAAAAGATCGTCCTTCATACCTTTAAGTGTAAATTTATTTACACTTAAAGGTATAAAGGTATTTCTTAGTTGCTTGAGAGGCTAGAAGCCATTTTACTCTACAGTCATTTCAAATTAAATATATATTAGAATGAAAGGAATAACAATGATGGTTACTCTATAGTTGCCCCAAACTGATCTACGAAGGGGCCACTGTGGTTGCAGGTCTTTGCTCCAGCCAAGTGAAGACATTAATATTGATTGAATGATGCAAATAAATGTATAACTACGTGGTTGGAGCAAAAGCCTGCAGCCACTCCACCCTTTCACAGATTACCTTAAGACCACTTATTTAAAGGGCTCCAGCCCTTTAAGGAATTGTGTTTTGTTTGTTTTTTTCCAGCTTTGCATTGTCATTACACTGTAACAAGTACAAAGCAACAAAATAAACTCTCTGGATTTAACCTTTCCCCTGGGGAGCAGTGGGCTGCCATTGTGTGGCGCTGGAGGAGCAGTGTGGGGTTAAGGGTCTTTGCTATAGGACCCAGAGTGGCAGTCTGTGGGAGCGGGGCTTGAAGTCAGAATCTCTGGATTCCAAGCACAATGCCCTAACCCCTAGGCCGCCACTCCCTAAAGTACTGCAATACCAGGTTGATGCATAGAGTGGGCAGAGCAAGCCCTTGTTCCATCTCACTTTTCCAAAAAGCAATTTAATATATGGTCCTCGGACAGGGGACATATCAAATGTTAAACTGATAAGAACAGATACTACACTTGACCTTAACAAAAAGGCTGGGTAGCACATGAGTGTTTTGATACTTTAAGATGTTTATTGCCCAACTCAGTGGGGATGGTAAATATGTTATTTAACAGATGTTATTCGGACTGTCATAAATTGTCTGTGAACTCATGCAATACTGGCTGTGTGTTAGACCAATAAATGAGTGACTCGAGCTCAAATCATGGTCAAACAGGTAATTCTACACATATGCCGAATAAATTCACCACAACTTCCATTAAAAATAGGAGTTTACTAACAAAAATCATTCAGATCCAAGTGAAACATATTACAGATAAAAACTTTTGACTAAAAACTAGTGAAGCTCAACTAGACTAAACTATTATGATCAAAGACAAATGAAAAATATGGTTGAACACAGTTTAAGAAGAAATGTTGTGTTTTGAAACCAAAGTTTATCTTGAAGAATTTGGGATGTGATCAAATTAACTTTTCATTAATTTAGAGTGATTTAGATGTTTTCAATCCAATTGACAATGCAAATCCATGAGGTGAATAAAGCATTATTTGGCCAAGTAATGTTTTATTGATTTGCTTAATCGGGAACAAATAACCTTTAGTTAAATGATTCTTTACCCTGTTTGAATGAGCTAGCAGCGAATAGACATGAGGATTGCATTAAATTACCTTTGGTCATAATTTTATCATCGGAATGTAATGAGCGTATGAGAAACATATCAAAACTAACGATATATCAGTGTTTAAACCCTTAGTGAAATAATACTTGTCCAAGCTTCAACAACAGCTCAAAAGATATCACTGTAGCATAGCGTACCATGCAATCCATCCTGTTAGGTTTGTCTATACTCATCAGTAAACACATGAAATGATCAAAATCATCAAAAGACATTTTGTTCAATTAGAATTTGTCCCTCACTTATAACTCTGTCCATTTTGGAAGGTTTGAGTTTTCATCCAGTGGCAGCTTAGCATGGCAGGCTCACAGTAAAGGAGAGGTTTTCTTTCTTCCATGCAGCCCACACATAGGGAGACTTTCCTCGCCAGCCCTACTCTGTAAGTTCTGAAACTCAGAGAAATGTGTGTTCTGATTAGTCAGCCATTATGACTTTTAATTGTGGAGATCTGGGCCTTTGGGATGAAACATGAATATTGATCCTCAATGTCCAAAATTATTATCATGATTTATGTCCTTAGCTGTTAATGCTTAATTTGATTCTGTAAAGTGTTTTCCAATTTGTAAAAATTCTGACTGAAATTCACATCACTCAACAATATCTTGCTCTCATTGCAACTGCTACCAAAAGGAAGGAACCTGGATCCAGAAATGGGGAACACTCTCCTTGATGTTTCATGTCCTGGAACTTTTACATTTCTGAATGATATAGGAAGTTCTTAGAGTTCTATCTATCGTCAAATTATTGGATTCTGGTGCTTTGAACCGGAGTCAAACATAAAAGTTGCATGACACTGGACCTCATTAAAAGTATTTTTAAACTACTGAATTCATGATTAAACTGGGGTTAAAAAATCACAGTTGAATAGATGAGTGCCTGTTTGTCAAAGTGAGTTTGATGTTGTAGCAATGTGCTAACTTCAGATTAAATTAAACATGGCATATGTTTTGTTGAATTAAACGCTTTAAAAGGTGCAATCAGTTGTCCTTCTTGCACTTAATGATATTGCACTTCAGTTCATCCCTGATATTCCAAAATTATAAGTCGCAAGTTTTAACTTTGACAGAAGGTAAAAACAATACATGCACTATCCACGGCATTGTTCATTAAAATATACATATAGTAGTATACACAATAATCATGAAACATTGTAGTCCATTCAGAAAATACTTTTAATACTTTACCAATTTTTAAGAGCAAGTACTTTTTTACTTTTACTTAAGTACAAATTTTAATGTGATACTTTAACTAGAGTGTTTATTTGTACTTGTACTTAGGTACCGTTTCTAAGTACTTTTTCTACCACTGCTGAGGCAGATATACAACCCAGATCCTCTGCAGTTGAGTCATCCCTGAAACACCACTCACAACAGAAACAGACCAGAATCCACCCACTTCTCCTCTCTTGAGTCCAAAACAAACTAAGGATCTTTATCATATAATAGGTATCTTGCCTGGGCAAGTATAGTTATTAATTATTTATTTATATTTATTATTATTTGGTTTAATAAAGGAGATCTTGAAGCTGTTTTTGCTGAGGTTCATGTCAAACATTCAAACTGTTTGTTTTGATATTACAGCTCCAGTTCCTGTTTTATGTTCTGTCCTTTTCTTGTGTGTGATTCTCTCATTTCTAATGATTGTCTAAAAAGAGCAGAGCCTACCTGTTTTGGTTAACAACTTGAATAGACAGAGACAAATATTTTCCTTGGGGTTAATCATTAATAATTCTGCTTAGCGTTACCGGCTTACATAAGAGTGAAACACACTGCTGAGGCTGGATCAATGTGCACAGTAGGAAGCTGAATACTAACAATGCTCCGATATTTTTGAAGTTTGGATTTTGTTTTATTACAATGCCTTTGGCCGGAAAAAAAAAATATATATATATACAGCTCAGAAAAGGCCCTGGAGCTTATTTAAGCCTGAAAAGCAGCAGTTTCACTATTTTTTATTGATTTTTATGTTATTTCAGGTTAATAAATGATACTTTTTTATATATATGTACTGATTCTAAAAAAAAAGTAGAAAACTTCCTGCTTCATAAATGCTTTGTGGGCATCAAAATGCTTCAGTGTTATTTTAGGGTCAAATAGTTGAGTAAAAGCATTTGGCACACTTTGACATAATTTGGCACAATCTGGCACATCAGGGGAATTCTGGAGACACTGGTGACTCCAAAGGTCCAAAGCCCCACAGCTCTGGAACTGTTGTAGCATTTATGGTTGACATGACGTAGAAGAAATGAGACATGCCTATTCTATTCTCAATCATGTCTTTCTGATGTTCAAAAAAGACCTATTATTTTTGAGAATAAAAGAAACAACTTTGAGTCATGTTTGCACCAGTGCAGCTTAGACTGTGTTTTATGCACACTATTTTCAGAAACTATAAGGTTTCTAGCTTTCAAATGATATATCACACACGCTTACAGTTCTTTATTTGCTTTTCCATTTGGGTGTGCAAAACAGGCGAGCATTTCTTCAAATGAGGTGGGTGTTAAGAGCTTAATAACCCACGTTATTAAGCTTTAATGATGGTAAAGACATCTTAGATTTTAACAGCCAGTTCAAGACATCCAGGCACATAGGAAAGCGGTTGATAACGCCTGCTAAGTGAGCAAATAGCCAGTTTTAATCATTTAACTAAAGATAATTACTGTGAGGTCGGGTGGAAGCTTTGAAGACCCAGATGCAAAACTGAGGAGGCAGAAGTGAGTTTTGCTGATTTGATAAGGACTAACAGGCAACTGAGGCAAAAATCCAGAAAAATACAAAAAATGCTGAAAACCAAACAAAATCCAAAAACGTCAGGGAAATACTCGAGGGAAGCAAGAGACGAGGAATTGAACAAACTCCTAGTTTTGGTAAATAATATATTTAGTTACATTACTTGAAAGCTATCAGGAGAAAAACATTAACTTTAAAAAGGAAAATTATGAAAATAGAACATGCATTAGACTTGTACAAAAAATGAGAATGTCTCCTCTTTCTATCTAAATTAACTTTCTATTCTAAATTTGGCACTTATTTTGTGTCAATGGATCATGAGACATGAAAGTTATTGTTTTATTTATTAGGTATTTGGTCTGGATATTGACCGTTGACCTACCTCTCTTCCTTTCATTCTCTCAGTCTCCAGTGAAGAAGTTGAATATAAAACTTCCACCTCTTACAATTGCTGCTACACCTCATAATTAAGTGTGCAGCTGATTAATGCGTATAATGATTGGTCTATGAACATATCATTATGATCAAAGACTATGCTACTTTTTAAAGCTTGGATTCTGCATGTATAGCAATAAAGGGGTCTTCATCAGTGTTACTAATCTTGAAGTGGGCGTTTCCATCTTTGCTAACAATGATCTGTTTTCCAGTGCATTTGTTGCCATCCTTCTGACCCGAAATGACATCACAGTAAGTGCCACCAGACATACCAGTGTTCAGGGTCACATCAAGGTCCCTAAAGGCAAAGACAAGATTATATGAGAGTCACCATATCATTGATTTGTTTTATGAGCTCTTAATTGTTCTGATTCCCCAGCTCTCATGTTCTCCCCATGCATGAATTGGCTGACATGATTGTTAGGGTGAAATGTGTGGTATGCATGATTTTCAAACTTCAGGTGGTCTTAAGATTAGCTCAAGAATTAGAGCTTTATGGAATGGGTTTCCATTGTCGAGCAGCTGCATCCAAGCCATACATCAACAAGTGCAATGCAAAATGTTGCATGCATTGGTGTAAAGCAGTGGTCTCCAACCCTGGTCCTCAAGATCTACTGTCTTACAGATTTTAGATGCATCCCTGCTTCAACACAGCTGAATTAAATGAATGGCTTGAAAAGGTAATCAATCATTTGATTCAGCTGTGTTGAAGTAGGGATGCATCTAAAATCTGTAGGACAGTAGATCTTGAGGACCAGGGTTGGAGACCACTGGTGTAAAGCATCAAGTAAGTAGACAACCAGACCAGTGAAGATGCATTTTCTGGAGTGATGAATCACACTTCTCCATCTGGATATTTGATTAAATACTCTTGGTTTGGAGGTTGCCAGGAGAACTGTACTTGTCTGAGTAATTTTGCAATGTATTTGGTAGAGGGGGACAGCGGTGTTGTTTTTCAGGAGATGGGATAAGCATTTCTTTCCCAGTGGAAGTCTGTGTTCTCAACTTTGTGGGAATAGTTTGGAACTGGCCCCTTCCTCTTCCAAAATGACTGTGTACCAGTGCACAAAGCAAAGTCCATGAGGGCATGGATGAACTTTACCTGTTTGCACAGATGACTCAATCTGATAGAACACCTTTGGGATGTTTTAGAGTAGAAACTAAGAGCTAGGCCTTCCAGTTTTACATTAGTCTGTGACCTCACAAATGCACTTCTGGTAGAATGATCAACAATTTTCATAAGCACACTCTTAAACCTAGTAGACAGCCTTTCCAAAGGAGAATAAAGTCTCTAGCTGCAAAAGGTGGACCCAAGTAATACTGAACCTCTATGGATTAGGAATTGGATGTCTTTTAACCTTATATGTAAGTCAGTGAGGGAATAATTTTTGCAATATAGTGTATATAAAGTGTAAAAAATGTGAAGCCTTACCAGTCATCATTGTTAAAAACAATAAAACCAAGGTCACCACGTCCAAAGGCAACCTGGTTGCTCTGATTATCCCACCAACTGATTTGTGGCTGTTGTTTTACCACATTTCGAAAAATGACCATATTCCTTCATAATAGATGAAAAAAAAATCATTACTATTTACCCCATGTTGAAAGTGCTGCTTTACTTTCATCAGCAATAGAAAAAATCATGTTCTGTTTGTAAGGTTAGAAGCTTTTTTTAGGAACTCACGTGATCTGACGCCATCTGTGCTCACATACCCATCCATCTCCACAAGTCTGGTCAGAGTTGACAGGGACAGACTTAGTGGATCCATTAGTGTTGGCTGGAGGGCCCATCCAGTCATTCTGATCCTATTATTTTGCAGAAATATGTTTAACACAAAATCATTATAAAAATATTGGGATTTTCTGAAGTCAGAAGATTTTACTTTTCCATTAACAAAATTCCGGTTCCAGCGGTAGCTAGACATGATCCTGGCCACTCCATAGGGGTGAGCAAGCATGTAGCCGACGGCCATCTTGTAGAGTTTGGAGTCCCAGAAAGTGATGATCGCTGAACCACCAGCACCATGACCTCTTTGGTTGTCGTGGTTATCAACAAAAACAACAGCATTGCCATCAGACATGAAGCCCCAACCTTCTCCCCAAGTCCTGGTCAAAGGATTAAAAAAACAAAGGATAACACCATACACAGTGGTGAAGATAATAAAGAATAAAAAAATGTTTTTGAAGAAATGCTAGCCAATTTCTAAGTTTGCTGTTGATTGGAATCAATATTTCAATTAAAAATTATATTCATTATTTGTTTACTGCTATCGCTATTGCTCAATAATATATACTAGAGTATGTATCAGTTCTACAGTACATGTATGCACACAAGCCCATAAACCAAACTTGATGTTAAATATGCTAAATGTGAACTAAACGTGTTTATTGCTGGCCATTCATAATAATCTTAATAAATCTTGGCCCATCAGACGAAATAAACATACCTTGTATAAAACAGTTTCTCTTCGTTCCATTTTCTAAAGATATTTCCAAGTTTTGCACCATATTTAAACTCAGTCACTCTCCCTAGATGTATGTACTCACTATAAGAGATGGCCTCTCCTCCGAGATCAATAACCTAGGGCAAAACAAAAAAAACACAGTCAGAAATCTACTAATGTTCAGAGTCACATAATTTATTTCATGTCTTTATGTTTTGCAACATTTTTCATGTTTTTAATTTTCCCATATTTGCTTGCGTGTGTTCTTCTTCTTTCTAGGTCTGACATGTCATGCTGTTTTTTTTGCTGCCACACTTTCCTGTGGCTCCTATGGCTGACTATTGAGCACCAATCTACAGGAATAAACAAATATGTTGGGTCTTATCTAGCCATGTTCTTAAGTAATACCTTCATAAAAGTGTTTTTAGTCTTATTTTCTGGTAGCACTTTATAGGACCTAATATTTTTCTGCAAACCATAATTTTTACCATAATTTTAACCCACTCCCTCTATGGTTTAAATTTGGATTAAAGCCTCTCTGGCATTACTTACAGGTGCTGGTCATAAAATTAGAATATCATGAAAAAGTAGATTGATTTCAGTAATTCCATTTAAAAAGTGAAACTTGTATATTATATTCATACATTACATACAAACTCATATATTTCAGATGTTTATTTTGTTTAATTTTGATGATTACAAATGACAACAAATGAAAATCTCAAATTCATCATATCAGAAAATTAGAATATTGTGAAAAGGTTCAAAATTGATGGCCCCTGGTGCCACACTCTAATCAGCTAATTAACTCAAACCACCTGCAAAAGCCTTTAAATGGTCTTTCAGTCTAGTTCTATAGGCTACACAATCATGGGGAAGACTGCTGACTTGACAGTTGTCCAAAAGACGACCATCGACACCTTGCACAAGGAGGGCAAGACACAAAAGGTCATCGCTAAAGAGGCTGGCTGTTCACAGAGCTCAGTGTCCAAGCACATTAATAGAGAGGCGAAGGGAAGGAAAAGATGTGGTCGAAAAAAGTGTACAAGCAAGAGAGATAACCGCACCCTGGAGAGGATTGTGAAACAAAACCCATTCAAAAATGTGGGGGAGATTCACAAAGAGTGGACTGCAGCTGGAGTGAGTGCTTCAAGAACCACCACACACAGACGTATGAAAGACATGGGTTTCTGCTGTCGCATTCCTTGTGTCAAGCCACTCTTGAACCACAGACAGCGTCAGAAGCGTCTTGCCTGGGCTAAAGAGAAACAGGACTGGACTGCTGGTGAGTGGTCCAAAGTCATGTTCTCTGATGAAAGTAAATTTTGCATTTCCTTTGGAAATCATGGTCCCAGAGTCTGGAGGAAAAGAAGAGAGGCACTTCATCCACGTTGCTTGAAGTCCAGTGTAAAGTTTCCACAGTCAGTGATGGTTTGGGGTGCCATGTCATCTGCTGGTGTTGGTCCATTGTGTTTTCTGAGGTCCAGGGTCAACGCAGCCACATACCAGGAAGTTTTAGAGCACTTCATGCTTCCTGCAGCTGACCAACTTTTTGGAGATGCAGATTTCATTTTCCAACAGGACTTGGCACCTGCACACAGTGCCAAAGCTACCAGTACCTGGTTGAAGGACCATGGTATCCCTGTTCTTAATTGGCCAGCAAACTCTCCTGACCTTAACCCCATAGAAAATCTATGGGGTATTGTGAAGAAGAAGATGCAATACACCAGACCCAACAATTCAGAAGAGCTAAAAGCCACTATTAGAGCAACCTGGGCTATCATAACACCTGAGCAGTGCCACAGACTGATCGACTCCATGCCACACCGCATTGCTGCAGTAATACAGGCCAAAGGAGGCCCAACTAAATACTGAGTGCTGTACATGCTCATACTTTTCATGTTCATACTTTTCAGTTGGCCAACATTTCTATAAAGCCTTTGTTTTTATTGGTCTTCAGTAATATTCTAATTTTCTGATATGATGAATTTGAGATTTTCATTTGTTGTCATTTGTAATCATCAAAATTAAACAAAATAAACATCTGAAATATATGAGTTTGTATGTAATGTATGAATATAATATACAAGTTTCACTTTTTAAATGGAATTACTGAAATCAATCTACTTTTTCATGATATTCTAATTTTATGACCAGCACCTGTATGTTTGCATTTACGTCATTAGGCTCCCTTCTCTTTAATAACCTAATAAGCAAAATATACTCTTACATGCCAAGGTGTATTTCAAGTGTGCTGCAGTGAATCATTATTGTTGTTAAACATATCCAATTACCTGGGTTGTTTTACGTATCTACGAAGCAGTATAGAAAGTATAGGGTTTTGGTAATGTACTGCAAGGGAACACAACCAACTCACTGTTTCAGATATGTGGATGCCATTGGCTTTTGGTGTCAAAATCCAAACCCAGGTAGTTAAGGCATTTACCAACTACATCAAGTTCAGCAGAGAAGATGCCAAGTATAACACGTTGCCCTCTCTGATCTGTGCTGTGCTAATTGAGGAAAATGGGAGTCTTAAAGCTACAGTGTGTAATTTTCAGCGACATCTAACGTCCAGACTGCAGACCGCAGCAACATGAACATCCCCCCCCCACCGCTTCTCCCCCCCAACAGTACGGCGAGCGTTATGGGACAAAATGTCTTCCACGACGTCCGCATCACCTACCTTCTCAAGTGATGAGGTTTGTTTACATAGATAATTTTACAGATAGTATTTCATTAGTCTGTGTGTTCAGTACCGTCTCAGTTCATCTCTCTCAACTTGCCGTAGTTACTTTCGAGCGTAATGGGCGATCTCGCAATCGCTAGTTTGTTGGCTCTGCGCTGCCGTAGCGCAAAGATGTCTGCCTCCATGGCTGCGAGACCCGCTCCTATGTAATTATAAATAACAAATTCTAAGGCAACGCAAATATTAAGGTTAAGAGGCTGAGCTCGTAGATGATGATAAATAACATAGTTATGTATAATATATTACATTTCTGACTGTATATCCCTGTAATTATTACACACTGTAGCTTTAATGTTGAGGTTTTACCTGAATCCTACAAATTTAGACCAACATTTGCATTTCAACTCAAAGAAATAGATAGGACAGATAGGTTCAAAAGGGAGATGTAAGAAGCCAATTTTGTTAAAATGGAAAAGCCATCACTGAATAGAGTGAGAATATTGCAGATTCAGCTCCCAAGCAACTACAACTGGATCCTGGAATACATTCCATAAACACAAATACTAATTCAAATAGCCCATACGCAACAACCCAAGAGATCAACAATTAGGTATTTGTTTGCATATGGGTTAGAAACTGTGATAGCAGCTAGTCCCTGAAATTGGGGAGGCCCAATTCTGTTCATTAAATCCAAACCTAAAGCATCCAAACCTAACATATATAAAAAATGTTGAAACACATTACATATAGAGAAAATCAGCCCTTCTCTCCTTTTCCAGGACATGTTTTATGACCCTGACATACCAAGTAATTGCCTGCAATAAACAAACAAAACTTTAACAAGATGCAAACAGTGCAATAATGCTTGGATTTTGTAATTATTACAATGTGTCCAATCAAGGCCTTACTTTCTCGCTGGTTACCTAAACAGATATTTTGCATTGAGCAGCTTCCTACTGCTACAGAGCAGAGGGGAGATTGCATCCCATGTCATACTCATCCAATGTCATGCTTTTGATATCAAGTGAATTTTAACACCCATTTAATGTAAAAAATTATCAACAATTATGAAGTTTACCAATACAATACAAATTGTGAATACAAATTCAAAGGGGGGGTTTAGCCCCCTTAGTATTCAATTAGAAAATTGAAACTGGATTAGAACTCCAACTACAGCTTGCTGTAGTGCAAGCCGACAGAAAAAGCTCCTGGATTTATTTATTTTTTTTAAAAACATATTTTATAAAAACAAGGCAACTGTTTTGTGGTTGTCTTGTGAGATCTTAATAAATAAAAGATTGAGATTCAAAATTGAAATAGCTCATGGGGGCAAACACACAACATCTTAAGGGAGCTGAGAAAAGGGGCTCTGCTCCTCTACATACTGTAAAAAACAGACGAGATTGTTATAGTATCTGATTAAGATGCCTTCTGGGCACCTCCTTTCAAGGGGTGCCAGATATATTCCACTTGAAGGAGACTTGGAGAGCAGAGTCACAACTGGCTGTAAGAACGATATAGCTTTTTTGGCTTGGTAAAGGATTGGTATCCCCAAAAACTAACTGGAGCTTGTTGCTTGGGAGAGGAATGCCCGTGTTTCCCTCTATGACATGTAACAGCAACCCAATCTGCTATAAGTGTGGGAAAGAAGATGGCAAGATGGATTTGTTTCCTATAAATGATCTGAAATATGCGAGTGTGACAATATATTCATAACAGATGAAAGGCAAATAGTTGTTCACACAAAATAAGCTATGTTTATATGCACACAATTCCCAGATCACACTGATATATATTACAATTAAAAAACTAAAATAGTAAGATTGTCACTTTTTTATGGATGTAAGTAATCAGAATTCAATGGCCAATTGAACCAAAACGTGTCATGTAAGCGTACCAATAAGTATCTGACACCATATAGCTGCTCAAAGTTGAAATACATAACTTTAGCGAAGACTTGCAATTGTGTCCTTCGGTCAGCTTATCTTATTAAGAAAAAGTTGGTCCTGAATTGTATTTTCATGCATGCATGAAGCTGGCATAAATGTCAGATTGCAATTTCATTCCATAGCTTGCCTATCTCATAAGAATATTTAAAACGTCATTCTTACTCAAAACATTTCTAGTCTGAATGGCTGTTCATTATGATTACCTTTGTTCAAGCAAAAGTAGTTACTTATGCCCATAACATAATATACCATGTAACCTCATTAGACATTTAAGGTTTCTCTATGTTCCAGAGCAAGTTTATTCCAATAAATAAAAGTTACCTCCTGAAAGATAAAGGGTCTTGATCCATTGGGAAACCATCTTAAACTGAGGTTGTGGAGATGACCATAAACATTTTCCAGGTCGCCTGGCCACATATGTTTGCAGGCATCCATTCTGAATCCAGCGACACCTAAATCAATCAACCTGTTCATGTATTCAGCCACTTTACTTCTGACATAATCTTTCTCCAAAGCAAGGTCCAAAAGACTGACCAGTTGGCAGTCCCGTACCTAAAACAATCAATGCATATATCATCATAAAATCTATCAAATTATCTCACTGGTGTCTTGGATGTTACAGGACCATGTTTAAACATTTTTGCCAGAGTGACAAATGACATATTTTTTTATAATGTTCTTTGGATCTTTTAATAAGAGTATTTTCTGATAATTAAAATTGGTCAAGCAAAGTTTTACCTGAAAAATATCTCCATAGTTTTCAATGTCACCATTTCTAGTTTTGCATTTGTTACTATTGAAGTCCCAAGCAGAGTATGGAACACTTGGAAAGTCCTTCTTGCTGGCGCTAAACCAACTTCCACATGATGAATGATTTCCTTCTCCACCACTACTTCCAGACATATGATTGATAACAACGTCCGCATAAATGTTTACCTGTTAGCAATAGCATGCATTTTATTTTGTGTATTTGAACATAAACCTTAATATAATGCATAATGTTTGACTGCTTGCAATTCTTTTAGTTAATAAATTGATATAAATAAACAAACAAGAAATATTGTGACAAAAGACTTTTGATACAAATTGTCTATTAGTGTCCAAAGTTTACCAGAAGATAATGTACTGATATTTTTTTCAGATTGCAACTGAAACGTTCATTACCCCAACATTGTTGCACCTGGTCACCATGTCTATAAATTCCTCTTCGTTGCCAGATCTGGAGCACAAGTTGTAACTTATAGGTTGATATCTTTGCCACCACGGTTGCCATGGCTCATTCAGAACAATATGTTCATTTGGAGGAGAAATCTGTGCAATATATTAGAAATATAGTTATCATATTAGACCAAAAGATCTGTAATCTGGGCTCTTAAATATTGTTAATTAAAAGTATACTATCTATCTATCTATCTATCTATCTATCTATCTATCTATCTATCTATCTATCTATCTATCTATAGATAGATAGATAGATAGATAGATAGATAGATAGATAGATAGATAGATAGATAGATAGATAGATAGATAGATAGATAGATAGATAGATAGATAGATAGATAGATAGATAGATAGATAGATAGATAGATAGATAGATAGATAGATAGATAGATAGATATAGTACAGACTAAAAGTTTAGACACACCTTTTCATTTGAAGAGGGCATCAAACTATGAATAAACATGTGGAATTAAAAGTGTGGAAGAACTCAAAATATGTGTTATATTCTAGGTTCTTCAAAGTAGCCACCTTTTGCTTTGGTTACTGCTTTGCACATTCATGGCATTCTCTTGATGAGGTTCAAGAGGTAGTCACCTGAAATGGTCTTCCAACAGTCTTGAAGGAGTTCCAAGAGATGCTTAACACTTGTTGGCCTTTTTGCCTTCACTCTGTGGTCCAACTCACCCCAAACCATCTTGATAGGTTTCAGGTCCGGTGATTGTGGAGGCCAGGTCATCTGGCGCAGCGCCCTATCACTCTCCTTCGTGGTCAAATAGCCCTTACACAGCCTGTGTTTGGGGTCATTGTCCTGTTAAGAAATAAATGAGGGCTCCAAATTTTTCGAACTGAATGACCATAATTTCTTAAACTTATAATGGTCACTCATGTTTCTTAGCTTTATTTAGCTGCTTTTTTATTGTCATAATACAAATTCTAACAGTCTATTCAATAGGACTATCAGAATCAGATCAGAATCAGATATTACTTTTGTTACACGCTCCAGTTACAGTTTTTATATATATATATATATATATATATATTTATATATATATATATATATATATATATATATATATACATCCAACTACACAATATAATAAAGATAAAAAAAAAATAAGAATAAAGAGAGATAAAATATATACACATATAGCTCCTCTGTATATATATATGTATGTCTATCTATGCATATGTCTGAATAGGGTCTGAATCACTTGAGGGAGGTGTTATAGAGATTGATGACCACAGGTAGGAATTATTTCCTGTGGCGCTGTGTGGTGCATCTGGGTAAGAGTAGTCTTCTGCTGAAGGAGCTCGTCTACTGGACCAGTGTGTCATGGAGAGGATGGGGATCATTGTCTAAGATGGACTGAAACCTAGACAGCATAATCCTCTCTGCCACGGTGGTCAGGGTGTCCAGCTGCTCCCCGACAACATCGCTGGTCCTCTTGATCAGTTTGTTCAGTCTGTTGTTTTCAGCTACCCTCAACCCACTGCCCCAGCATGTGACAGCAAAGAAGAGCGTGCTGTATCCACCTAACTTCTGTACAAAGTAACTGATTGGCCCCAACCCCATTTATAAAGCAAGAAATCCTACTTATTAAACCAGTGAACTGAAAACCATTTCAAGTGACTATCTCTTGAAGCTCATCAACAGAATGCCAAGAGTGCACAAAGCAGTAATCAAAGCAAAAGGTGGCTACTTTGAAGAACCTAGAATTAAAGACATATTTTCAGTTGTTTCACAGTGTGAGTCTAGAATTTTCAAAGTCATGAAAATAAAGAAAACTCTTTGAATGAGAAGGTGTGTCCAAACTTTTGGTCTGTACTGTATATATATAAAATACTGCCAAATCCCAAAAATTGATGCAGAAAAAAATTTCAAGGGCTGGGAGATTTGGGTGTGTTGGGCCTGCTAGAAGCAGGTGAAACTATATGAAAAAAAATATTTTCCAATTTACCTGTATCTGCATCAAAGGAAGAATTGTAAACAATTCTTATGTATGTTAACTTTTGGATAACCAGATTTCACTTTCTATATAATCCAAAACGAGGTGCTGTTAGCATTGACTCTCTTTTGATTTTTTACTTTTCCTGCCTTGTGTGTAATCTTCCACAGCTACTCATAAACAGTATATAACCTCTGCAAGATAAACTGCATACAAGTTGCTATACTCTAATATTAACAGAAAAAAGACGGTTTTGTTTTTCCTGAAACCAGAACATTCTACACACTAATACTGTATTTAGTTCAACTAACCTGAATACCACCAAACCCTTTAGGAGCTAGGAAGCGCTCACACTCAGCAGCAATGTCGGACCAGCGCCACTCGAATAGTTGGACAATTGTTGTTCTTCCGTGTTGAAAGTTGGGGTTGTGTTGCATGACCCCGAACCCAAACAGCATTGTTAAAATGACCAGCTTCATGATTCTATAATGTAAGAACGAGACAGTATATTACCTTTGTCCATACAGTAAATATCAGTTACAAATCCTCTTCTGATTAAGGTTTTATGATCAAAACAAACTATGCAATTTAGCTAAATCCATTATTAAAAACCTATTTTTTCTCCTGGTTCTGGCTGTAATCACATATATCTTGTCATATCTCTTACCAGTTAGAGGATGACTGTTTAGACTGACCCTGTGTGTGAGAGAGTGTTTGTTAACTTAGTTCAACAACCTGAGGATGTAGCAACAGCTATCAAATAAAGATCTTAAAAAGTCAGTGAAAAGCTGAGTTAGAACTGAAGTTAAAATATTATGTTTTGCTTCTGTGAAAAGCAGCTAATCCTTTAGCACAATAAGTAAGTTGCATGAATTGTTTATTCTAAAATTGTATTTAGGTATGAGGGTATTTACTACTTTTTTAACCAAAATTACTAGTCTTTTTTTTTTTTTTTTTTCGTATGTTTTCTGCACAAATTATATTTTGAGGGAAAAGAAAAAAAAGATTCCCTTGTAATCACAACTTGTGAAACACATGTTTCCCAGAGTTTCTTCTTGACACCCTATTAAGTGTAAACACAGACACTGATGTCAACATATCACCTGTTTGCTAATTCTAAAGTCCTGTCCTTTTGGACATTTGCAAATGATAAAGCTGTCCTCAACACTACACTTACATAGTATAAAAAATAACCTATGAGTGTATTAAATATGTGTCTAGATGAAAGCCAGCAGATGCAGAATTTTGCAACAATTATTACCTGCTATTTCAGATAGATTTGGGTTTAATAAGTCTTTCTTATACAAAATAGAATTGAATAAAATAGCATTATCTGTCTTGTAATGGTCAAATCCAGATGTGCTGGTGGCAATGCAAAAGGCAATAAACCACACAGGTTCAAATATCACATGAATAAAAGTAATTTCATTTATTTTTGAAGAAACTGTGTAGTTATCAAAACTACATACTCAGATTACAGTATAGATTTTCTATTTTTTTTATTTTATTAACCTATTTTTATATTTATAGTATTATTTTTATATAAAACGTTTTACAGTACAAAAATATAATTTTGTTGTTCATAAAAGCCCAATGAATTAATACTTTAAAGGTTAAAGCTAAAAGGGCACACATCATTATATTTATAATGTATATATATATATTTTAAAAGAGCCCCCTGGTCTTGCATCTCGCCCATTTCCTACTTGTTCCAGTGGCACATGTAAGATGATAGCAGGGAAAGCTTCCATGGAGCGCCATAACCAAGTGGCTGGAATACTGTACAAGAACATCAGTGCAGAGTACCCAAAAGATAAAGGGGGAAACAGCTCAAAAGATGGTAGAGAATGACCTGAGCCAAAATCCTGTGGGACTTCCAGATACCGATGGAAACGAATGGTAACTGCAAACCAACCGGACATTGTGGTGGTGAATAAAAAAGCAAAGGAAAGCTGTTGTGGTTGACATAGCAATACCGCAACATCAGGAAAAAGGAACATTAGAAACTATAGAAATACAAGGGTCTCAGAGAAAAGCTGAAGAAAACCTTGAAGGTCAAGACATCAGTGGTGCCCCTGGTCATAGGGGCACTCAGGGCAGTGACCCCCAAACTTGAGCACTGGTTACAGCAGATCCCTGGAAATACATCAGACGTCTGGGTCCAGAAACATGCAGTTCTAGAAACACAAAGATACTGTGTAGAACCCCTTAAGCTCCCAGTCCCATGGTATAAAACCCAAGCTTGGAGGAGAAAAAGGGAGGCTGCCCATGGAGGGTGAGGAATACTTTTTTTTATCCTACACTGTAAAATCCAATAGCTACTCTGACTTACATAAAACAGTTAAGTTTACAAGGTTATCAAAAATATGTTGTGATTACTTTGATTTATGAAGTAACAGTTACTTTTAATAACAGGGTTTCTGCAGGTATAAGCTAATCTAGTTTAATGCTTTTTAATGTTACTTTATCTATTTTAATGCCCATGTCGAACTGTGCACATACTGTATACATGTTCACACACACACACACACACACAGAAACAATTGTAACCGTTTGAAAATGATAATCTTTAATAACTGTGTAAGCTTAATACTGCAAAAGTTTTAGCTCGTTTCCTTTTTGCTGCAACTCTGTTCAACGTTTTTGAGTTCAAGGCATTTCCCCTTGTGTCTCCTCCTCAGAGTATTTGATTTGGTAATCCTTTTAGCCATGAGTGTGTCTGCTTTGTTTTCAGCTTTCTCAGCAAGTTCATCAGCATCCTTCTGAAGGCTGGCGCACACCTCCATCAACACAGCTTTTTTCTTTCTCAGTGCTTCTAGATCATCCTGCACTGCTTTCTTTCAAATCCACCAATTGCACCCTCTTGCTTCCTCCTCTCTTCATCGAGGTACATCCTGTATTTTGTCCTGGCTGAGGCTACAGAAGCCAGTAGTTCTTTAGTGAGTGGCACTTTGAGAACACCCCCACAAGTTCTGACCTGGTCACAGACTAGTCTCTGGGCCTCAACAGTTTGTTCAGTTATGTTGCAGATTTCCACTTCCTTGTTTACAGAGAAGTAGTCAATAAAGCTTCAACTCCTATTAAGAGTCAAATGTAGTGAGAATACAGCTTATTCATACTAACATAAAGTAGTGCTAAACCTTGGTTTTAAGCTATCCTTAACATTCCTATCCGCTAAGAGTCATGGAGAAACTTAAAGTTCACATTTGGCCCGTCCATGCTAATGGAAAGGAGATTCTTCAGGTCTAACAGGTGCACACATTCCCAAGGGGGGAAAAAAATTATTAAAATGATTTGACACCATGCAAACATTTTAAAGTTATTGGTTATTGTAAGTTTTCTTTTTTGATTAATAAAACAAAAACAGCCATTTAAAGCATCATCTCAAAGTTATAAGATTCACTGAGAAATAATCAACATATCTCATCTTAGATTTGCAATAAAAACATAGAATGTTGACTTAATAATTCCTAATTTATCTAAACATAATTCCATAAACATCAAGGTTTCCACATTTTTGGGTGCGTTTGTTTCTGTGCATGGGCTTGTATGTGTGAGTCAATGTCTGCCTGTATGACTCTGTGTGCGCATATAACACAAGGTGCGAGTGGGTTGTCAATGTTTAAACTGTTTTAAATTATCTTTTTTTGTCATTGCATATTTTCATATCATTGCATATTTTCAATAATTTGCAAAGCACTTTGTGTTGCATTAAATGTGTATGAGAAATGGTCTACAATATTTGAACTGTCTATTTGTGAAAGCGTAACTATACTTACATTGAAATGTTGAAGGAGGTCCTGTGTCTTTGAGTGTCCCATGAACTGTGATCCGAGATAAAGGGAGTGGACACAACCGCACATGAACATCTAGTTGTTTACTTTTTGTCGACTGGTTCCGACTTACATAAAACATTAAAACAAATGGTCCTGCCTTGTTGACTGTAGAAATCAGCATGTTTTTTAAGTGAGGGGCAAGTCCAAATTTTATAATGTAGCTGGTTTTGTCGTTTCCACAGGTGAAAGATTAGGCTATAACAGAATCAGGAAACAATGTCTGAAATAACTTAGTAACACCATCGTTGGATGCAAAAGAGTGGTGCTTCACTGCAGTGTTCATACACCAGAGCACCTCGACTTCCAAAGTCGTGTTCGAGCCAAATACTGCTTGCAGGTCACTCGTCCTACCCCCGGCGAGACTCTGCTGGGGCAGTCAGAAAGGTGGTTGTAGTAGCCGCTACAGTTGTGGTGACAGCAGACCTTTTTATCAACTTGTTTAGCTTTTTTACGTAATTTCCGCTAATGCTGTTACACCAGCAGATGATGAAGGAAGAGATCACACAACAAATAAGATATGTAGCATCTTGTTGCAAACACTGAAGGACCTAAGCTTCCTTATGAAGTTCTTTTGTCTTTTGTTGTAGACGGCTTTACAGTTGCGTCTCCAGTCAAGTTTGTTGTCCAGGTGAACATCAAGGAATTTATATTCCTCAGCCACCTCCACCTGTTCTCCCTTCAGGTTAATTGGATTCATTTTGTTCCTGTTTCTAATGAAATCTACAGTCATCTCCCTTGTTTTGTTGACATTCAGGATTAGATGATTGTTTCCACACCATGCCAAAAAGCGGGTACCAGCTCTTTGTACTCAGCTTCTTGCCCATCTTTGGGCACCCAATGACCCAAATGACTATCTGTTACTAGAAAAACACAGGTGCACAGAGTAATTTAAAAGGAATTGAGAGAGTTGTGGTTCCCTGTGTTGCTAACTACCTGATTAGAAGGTTTGGTTGTGTCTGCCACGGTCCAGTTCAGTTTTGTGTGCCATTTGCACTCGACAGTTATCTCGGATACTGTGCTCGGACCGATGTCGGAAAGGTTTCAAAAGGGTAGTGTAAAAAGGGCTAATGTCTCTCTTGGACAGGGGTCGGCAACCCATGGCTTTATTATGTTTTCCAATGCTGTAATAACTTGTATAAGAAATACATTTAAACAACAAAGATAAACATTTCTGTCAAAAAGTTATAACTTTATATAACATGTCACCAAACTATGGAGTCAGAAAGGATTCAAAATGTTTGTAAACTTTTGAATCTTATTTGAAACAGAAAAAATATAAGCTGATATTTAATGTCAAATTTTTACCTTGTAATTTTAGACTCTAAAAAAGCAAACAATCTGAATGTGAAAAAAAAACTTGTAGTGTAAAAAAATCCTGAAACTGAAAAGGGAATTTGAAATTAAAAAAGAAAATAGAAACAGAAAGAAAAGGATTTGAAGCTAAAAATATAGAATCTAAAACTGTAATAAAGAAAAGAAAAAAAGTTGGAAAAACTGAATTATGAGCTTTTTCAAGCCAAGGGGAAGAATTTATATTCATTTCGTATTATTTTATGTTTGCTTTTTTAGTTTCCAAGATTATAAGGCCAAAATTTAACATTCACGTTAACTCATGTTTTTTTCTGTTTCAACTTTTATTTTTTCAGTTTCAAGATGATTTAGAATTTTACGAAAATCTTGACCCAACCCAGGACCTTCTTCCTACAAGGCTACAAATGGTGACCAAACGTCCTCTTTTGCCCGGACTTGTCCACTTCTTATGTCCTATCCGGAGGGGGGATTA